TGGCTTCGTAGTACAACAGTTCAGCTAGTACCATTTGACCATCGTGATGATATGCAAAATCTTTGCTTTTTGTTCCTTCTTAATTTCTTTTTTGGTGCTTTTCATAGGAATTACTTTGTTTTCATGAAAAAAAAAATCCAAGAATATTCCTGAATCTTTCCAAATTCCGCCAAAAAAAGAACTTTAGCAACAGTTCACAAATGATCGCACCATCGAGGGATTATATCAGCAACCAAGAATATCAAGACTGTTTAGACAATCGATGTGGGAATCCCGTGTTAGTAATTAGATTTCAAGAAATAGTACCGGAAAAAAGCAGTCGTTTCTTGAATTTTACCTTGCTTTTGAAGATAAAAAAGTAGGAGATCACAAATGTATGTAACAAATCATTAACACATACAAACAATTATCACTTCTATCGCAAATCTATTATCACTATCATCATACATCATCATTGTCTTATGACACGCTCTGTTACTAGATGCAGTTGTTACTGTCAACAATGTGCATAATACATACGTATTTTGTTATAATGCAGCAACTTGCATAATGAGTTGCAGCTTTCATGCACTATCCGAGACAACAGGATGCGTATGTTACCCATTCTAAATGAGATCAACGCGCTCCCCGTAACTTGAACTAACGAGATGAATGATCGGATTGACCATCGTAGAAGCGAGTTGGAAAAATAGCGAAAATAAGCGGCTGCGGATAAGAGGAACTGTCTAAATGCAGATACCGCAAGCTCGCATTCTAGTAAAATAACCGAAGTCTGGATAACGTTAGGATTACAAAAACATGCTATCCAAAAACAGCGAAATTTTCATAAATCACTCAAAATTTCCGTATACAAAAACAGTTACACAAATATGTTAATAGTTCATGCGAGTCGGCCTTAAAGGCAGTTTTCGAGTAGAATCACAAATTACACATTTCTCACACTTTTCGCATTATTGTCCTTCTGAAATAAATTTTATTTCCTGTAGAAAGTTAAATATGATAAACAAAATACCAAGGCCGGCTTGGCTATCAGTATGGGTATCTTATGTTACTAATTTACTGGAATGGATGAAAAGCTTTGAAATTTTCAGAAATTGTACGCATCTCTGGTCCTTTACCCAAAAGTTATAACAAAATGATTAGGACATCGGCAGAAGGGTGTCCCCAACTATACAGTTATAAACATTCCGAGTTGCTTTGGTCATCACAGCTTGACCGTTGGCCTGCTGATAGTTCTGATGTCAGCTTTGTCCACTGAAGTGATTAGAGGATACCTAAGCCTAAATTGGAACTCGGCACATTTTACATAAAAGTTGACTGTTATCAACGAGGCTCACCTGAGTCATTTTTTTTATTTCGACTGCTGCCATTGTCCGACGGCGATTTTTCCTTGTTTTTGTTATTTCCACTGAACTCATTCTACAGCGTCTATCGGCCATACTTTCTCCTATATCCCAGGAAGTTGTTGTCCGGCGGCGATTGGCAATATTTTCTTTTATTTCCAATGGAGTCATTGTTCGACGTCGAACAATCTTTGCTTTTTTTATTTCCTCTGCAAAGACGTTATTTGTGTACTTGAAACGGTTGCAAGTTTGTCAGTAATTCAAAAACGAAGAAGCAAATGGCAAACGCTTCTTGTCGATTTTTTGAAAAAAACAAATTAGTTCTTTGTTAATGTGCGCCAAATTAAAAAGCAATCATTCTGTCTGGATGGGCCGTGATGTGATTTTCTTCATCATGCTTAACCTGCAACCGAAGTCTGTTCTTGGACTGGTGCTTGCTGCTGCTGCTGCTGCTCCAGCTCTGTCTCAAGCGTCTCGTCCAGCGTATCCACATCATCCATCATTTCTGGCATACTTTCTAGCCACTTTTTTATCCTGAAATTTTGCGGATCTAAGTACAAAATTCACCTAATAACCATGGGCAGACTGTGAACTTATTTGAATCAGCTCTTAACACAGTCTGGATCTCCTCACGGATACTGAGTAGGTAAGGAGATTCAGAAATCTTGGAATCACACAGTGTGTCAGTACCAATTTATCATCGAAACGAATGAATGACTCGTGAGGAAATTAGTCGCCCTACTGGTGAATTGCTTACTTTTAGCTGACTGCTGCACTGATATATAACGTCTCATGTTCACTAACAGGTACCATCACGGAGTTATCAAATAAAATATACCTTGCAATTATTTTTGAACGTGAAATTTTGGTGCCCGTTCCACAGAGATCAGTAATCGGCGTTTCCATGCTACGTGTCTCTTCTTGCTCAGAAATCAGCGTTAGTCTTCTTTCCTCGTCAACCAGCATTTGCTCACTACATGCTCCGTTATCCTCAAAAAACGGCATTTCTGCACCTCGTGCTTCACTTTTTCCAACAACCAGTGTTTGTCCACTATTTTCCCTGCTTTCCTCAACGACCAGCATTTCTGCATCACGTGCTTCACTTCCTTCAACAACCGGTGTTTGTCCACTACGTGCTCTATTTTCTTCGGCAGCCGTCGTTTCTAAACCACATACTCCATTTTTCTCAATAGCCGATGCTCCTTCAATACATTCTTCGCCCTCCTCAGGGAAACTGATAACTGCTTGGAAACTATCGTCATCGCTCATTCCGCATTTCCCCTGTAAAAAAGCATCAGTGTGTTCAGTTGTTTTTCTGACTATTCGTACAGTTAAACTTCTTACCACACAAGTGTTTTAAAGTACCACACAAGCATTCTACATGTAAAGATGCTCAGGCCCTTTATGCATTACCCTTTCGAAGGCACTCAGCCTTCTCATATTTACGGTAAAGCTGCAAAAGCGCTTCAACTTTGATCTCGAATTTAAAAAAAACCTGAAAACGGCTAGTGTGTCTTTAGTGACATAATTTACGAAACTAAGAATGACACGTGAAGAGATGCGATACATACCACTGCTGATGCATGTATTCTTGAGAAAAGCTGCATGACAGCTTGAACTAATGGGGCCGGAGGCCGCTTTTATTACAACCGTTGTAATGGTGGCCCAGATGTAGCACTATCCAGCCAAAAATCTAAAACTTCTGACGCAGTATAATTCTTCATATTTCTATACAGTTTGGCTTGTAACCACAAAATAGGTGGGTAAAAGTGGTTTTTTTAGCATGGAAGCAGAAAGCATAAAAAGCTGCAAGGAAAGGAGAAAAGAGGAAGTTGTTATACAGCATCCATTGAAAAAATTGCCTGTAACATCAGTAACGCGGTCAGTGTTTCACTGAAAGGCACACTATCAAGTGCTGAAATTAGTTTGAATGGGTACTAACCTGATTATAAGACTTTGGGCTGATTTGTCTTAAACGGTCACCACGCACCCAAATGGTACTGATTCTGCGCTTCTTAAAAATACAGTGCATGAACAAACAAGCTCAGACAGTCCTTTTAGGGCTTTTTTGTTAGTTATGTTACCGAGGTACTTTATCTACCATGCGCTTACACGCCAAGCTTTTCGATCTTGAGCTGATCTTGTGAACGAAAACCCCCTTCCGAAAAAGCCTTATAGACGAGAGGGAATTGAACCACTCCTCTTCACATCCGGACGCAACTATCCACTACACCACCGGTCTTTGTGTTCCAAATTCACCCTGACAGCACATCTACTGCGTATTTGCAATTCGATGCACAACGCACATTTCTTTTCTTGGTTGCCTTACGTAGGCAGTATGCAGTTCTTTGTGTTGGCTTCTTCGCCAAGACGTGCGTCTTAAGGCGTGGTTGCGTGAACAATTTTGACAAAGATTGAAAATTTAAAATGAAAGTTTTGAAAATCGTTGTAAAAGGATTACTCTACAATTGGGCATTAGTTTTTTAACAGTATTGATTTTGCGACATACCTTCTTTTGCCGACTATTTTTGATTTTAGGCGATGTTTGCGATGGAGATGAAATCGCTGGCGTATGGACATCTGCTTTCTCATCCGACGGATTCTCATTAATTAGCGAGTGTGCGAGCTTTACAGAATCTCCAGCACTTAACGAATCTACAAGAGAAAGTTTGAAATTCTTGGTGCTGCTGGGATAGAAAGTGATTATGCTTGGTTCTCCCGCTTTCAGCGTGCGTGAGCTCTGTATTTTCTCCTCCCATCTTTCGGGGGATTAACGAACGCCGAGGACTGCTCATATTGCAGTGACATGCAACAAAGAAACTGATCAAATCTAGAAGCAGAATGAATTCTCATTCCGCGATCTGCACTGTTTTTTGACTGCAGAATTTTATTTATTGCCTACATGGAGTAGAATGGAAAAGTTGTCATGCCAGTTGCACGATAACCGGAATGAATCTGGCGATTAAAAAACGGCTATAGGACGGTGAATTACTTCTTAACTGATATGCTTTACCTACCACCAATAATGCTAGTAGTCCCTGAATTAATGTCTTGCCCAACGATATAGCTCGAATATGAGTCTGACGTCATCAATGACTTATTTTTCTCATTATTTATTTGAACAGCAGCATATCCAGGACCATTTTCTCGATTTTCTTTCACTGTAGCCAGTTCTTCTTCAGCGCAGTCCGAATCCTGCAAGTTACCACTTGTCATCTCTGCTCATCAGTTCTCCTTAACTTCATCAATTCTGTAGTTCCTCCCTCAGTTACTACTAAATATTTTTCTAATATTCCTTTGCCAACGGTTTTCACCAGTCTTGTCAGTGGCTTTGATAAAACTGACTGTAATAGCTTTAATAAAGATATTACTTATGACACATATGCAAAAATATAAAAATAAATTAAAAAATTAAATGAACAGGAATGTTTTGATCCATTAATGCTTCAGTCTGCTTTAACGACACCCAAAGCGTTGCGCTGGCGAAGTCCAGTTGTGATGCAAAATAGGAATGTATCCACATAAGCCATATGCATTCCTATTCAGCGCCTCAGCTGGATCTCACCAGTATGACGGATGTAGTAACACTAAATAAAACTAATCTTTATATGAAAATGAGTATTGTAAGTGGAGAGAAAAAATGATTCTTGCTTCAAATTTTTCAGAAAACGAATCTTCGTTTTTTTTTTCTGAATCTCATATAGTAGAAGCTAACAATCAGAAGTGTTACCATAGTGAAAGATCCGGATAATTCGGTGGTCTCATCACTCGAAAGTCCATAGTCGTCCGGCATTCTCACGACACCAGGTATTTTCTCGGGACGAGGAGTGATTTCGCATACACTCGGATCTGAACGAAACCGCACGCGTCTTGCTTCTCGCTGTTTTTTGTTTCTGCGAGTATCCACTGACTAAAAACAATCTAGTGGAAAGATATGGATCACCTGTAAAATATTCATTTCTAGAAGGCCAGGGCAATCACTAGTCCAGAGAGAGTGTACAAGAGTTTTCCTCTTGCTCTTCCTCTAGCACTCAGGAAAGCACTGAAATCTGTCCGGAAAAAAAGCCTGCCATGACAGAAAAAACGTGTCTCATCAAGATTTTCCCATTGCTCATTGCACTGGCAGAAAAGCGTATCCACGCTAACTTTTTTTGCCTGATGCCAATGCTTTCTTCTGATATACCTCAGTGTAAGAAAAGCAAGTTTCCCTATTTTTTAAGCAAATTAATTATGCATGTGGCTCCAAAAGCACTAACGTTTTCACAGTTTGCTTTGGACACACCTCCTGCGGTCTCCAACTTATCCTCGTCCAGTGCACCATTCCCAGATCCTGGAAGTTTGCCGTTCGTCGTGCTGCTCCCGATCTCCAAACAGTTACTATCATCGCTTTCCTCCATGTCCATCTTCCAGTCCGTATGCCCGCACCAGAGCTGATTTGGAAGCTGCCGTTTACGGCTAGCCGTACACCTAAATGTAATTGTTGGCAGAAAACCTCGCTATTTATATTTATGCGCTTACTGTAAATTCGCATATTTCTTGTTACACAAAATTTCTTTTGTGTTAGACCACTTAAGTTTGCATAATCCACTTTCATGCAAAAGAAGATAAACCCAATAACTTAGTTTGAACACATTCAAACTTAATAATTCAGTTTGAACTCAACTCCGCCACTGAAATAATCAACTTCTCTACGATTCGTTCACACATTTTGATGATACCTTTCGTACAAATTTAGTTCCTGCGTAAGCCTAAATCTCGCGAAAGTTTTGACGCCGAAATTAATAAGTCGGAAACCACAAAAGCTAGAAGGCTGAAATTTTAGAATGCTCCCTGCTCGTGTATAACTTCAAAAGATTCAAACCCGCCATCCACTTGCTTGTAAATAGCTCTCGAAAATGGGCATCTTCGACAACCTTGCTAGTGGGTAGCTGCTTTTGACGCTTGTTACCACTGATTACCTCAGAGTATTTCGATTTTTAGGCAGAGTGGAGTGCGGAGGAGATTTCACTTTTGAATAACTACGGAACTTCGCGAGATGAGTTTTGATAGCAGAATACAGGAGAGCGATTTTTTACGGCTTTGCAGCCATTTACCATACTTGCTAGCCTGAGAACCTAATTTTATAGCCTGGTATTGACTCTAATCAAACTGTCATCGACGAGTCCATTCTCAACCTCGCCTTCCTGAACGTGCTAGTGATTCTAAAAAATGCCGACCAAGAACCGCAAAATAAAAGGCACTGAGAATTTGTTACTGTTCCTTTCACGTCACCACTGTCCAGAAAGTCACAAACCCCAAAATGAGGCAGAGTAGATAGCTGTAGCGCACTGTCGATGGCGAGCATATTAAAGATCGTGGTTATGAGGCGCGAACCCCGTAGAAGGCAGGCGCGAAATCGAACTCACAAATACCATAGAAAAATATTGGAAAAATATTTATAAAAATTACATTTCATGCACGAAATGACAGCTGTGCCACAAAGTATCCGAAAAGCAGCAGAACATCGTACAGCTCCGTACTGGATTATTCCAACTACTGCCACTTCTTTAAGCGATCCCCGTCATAGGCGCATTCGATCCACGCATGGCCAATGAAACTGACCATTGACCATTACGATGCCCTTCAAAACCAATTATTCCTTCTCCTAGCTGCATCTAGACAATCCGCATTCCGGATGCTCAAATATCAAGGCTGATAGACATGGAGCCGCAACCAAATGCCCCACAAGTCAGCTGCTGGTTATCCGATATGTGTACTGTGGATATACATAGAGTAATAAACAGCAAGTGAATGCTGTCCTACTGGAATTCATTTTTTGCGAAAAAAATCCCAAAATCCTCATGCACCACCAATGGAAGAAACTACCTGAGGAATTATCTAGTGGAATGGGAATGATGCCCCTCTTAATGGGTACCAATATGTTCTTGATTATGCATCACACAGGCGACGGGCTTATATAAGACATGGTTTGCTCGGTCGCTTATCATTTTTATCATTACTAACATTTCGAGTGGTTCGTTGTTCCATCATTTCTTTTAATTTCAAACACTCTGATGAGAAACTCCGTCGCTGCGAAGGCTATAATATGTGCATATAAACAAGACAGCTTTGGCAGAGCCGGGAAAGACACCTGTGTTACAGACTTGCTTGCTAAATGTAGGTGATACTGGGCGGCTACTATGCTTAATTAATAGGAATGCCAAGGCCACCCGGACTTCGCTGTGGGCGTTTCTTATTAACAGGATTACTAGGATTCCTGACTTTAGGACATTACTAGGATTCCTGACATTTTTGTGCACTAGCTCTTTTCTGTAGTTCCGTTTTTCGAAGCGATCCACATCAGCAGATATCGAGTTTTTTTTTTCCTTTTTTTTAATAATTTGAGTTGCTGCAACATTCTAACCATGATTGTGATTATTCTTATGAACATAAAGTTTAACGTATTTTAGTTAACTCTGAATTTCTAGGCATGTAAAGATAGTGGTAATAATAAAGTAAATTATTTAATAAAACAGGAATTTTTCGGTTTATTAAGTCGCAAATAAAAGTAGCACTGTTGTCGTGTACTAACTAGCCCAGGACTCTGCCAGTGGAACAATCAATTCCTTCACGATTCGCTCGTTCATTTCGAAGGAAAATAGGTCTAGCATACACTAAAGAGTCAAACCCGCTATCAGCTTGCTTGTAAGCCACCCTCGAAGGAGTGAGCAATCGATGGTCTTTCGAATGGGTGATTGCTGTTGGCATTTGTTACTACTTGTGTTAATTCCTGCCTCTCGTGGAAAGTGAAAACGAAGGGGATTTGATTTTTGATGCATTGAGTCAGAGTAAGCAAGCCTATAATAAGTTTTCCAGTTAGCAATTCTAAAAAAATGCATAAATGTTTTTAAATTTGAAGCGAGCAGGGATGACGGCGAAGGTTAAAGCAGCGGCGTACCGTCTGACCGGTGGCTCAAAAACTGTCTACAGCGCAGAATACGAATCGAAAGTAGCGCTGTTTCACACCTTCAGGAATCAAACCGAAAAGCTGATTTCGCAGCTTACAAAGCTCGTTACGGTAGGCATTATAAATAATGCTGTTTAAAAACAAGGTTTCAGTCTCAAAATGGAAAATATGTCTCTCAAACAAAACTAAATCCTGGATTTCCAGCAACTTCAGTTCTGCAACCTCCTACTGATAGGCCACCAATATCCCTCAACACTGGTTTTTTGACTCAGTAAAATTCAACATCTCAGAGATGAAACTGACACTGCTTCTTCAGAACACTTGTCGGTAATTCACCTCCAATACACTGGCCGTAAGTGTTAGTGCCACAGCTATAAATTATTTATAGCCCATTCCTGTATGATTTCGAGGAAAAATGACGGTAATTTTCCAGGACAATATGGCAACCGAAGTGATGCAGAAGTTGTCGAAGGATAATGCGGAAATGGGCATGAACAAGTTTGAACGAGTTGGTGAGGCGCTGCACAAATACGGTACGCAGCTTGACGACGACCACTCGGCAGAGGTTCTAGAGAAAGCAAAAGATGTCTTCGAAAAAATGGGTCAGGAGCACCGCTCGCTACGAACTAACATCATAGAAAAAGTACAGAAGCCACTGAAAGAATGGATCGATGTAAGTGCACACTCGATTTGACTATTGGAGCTATTGAAGCAAGGATAGTTTGAGAGATTCAGAAATACCGGATTAAGAATATCTCACATCAAATTACGTTTGATACCACATGGGAGAACCTAAAAAGGAACCAGAATTTTTTTTCAAGAAAACCATCCGCATTAAAATCTCATACATCTTTGGGATATTCATTCTGAAATCCCTAGTTGTTCATTTACACAGTTCTAACACGGCAGTTCTGAGCAGCATTTGCTTTACATTAAGTGCTAAGTTCGTTGTTAAGTTGAAACAGAATTTAAAATGCTATTTAAAGAACAGATATTAGCTAACAGTGAAGTGAACTGGATTTATTAAAAATTGAAACCTGTAGCATGTAAGAAGAAACAATAATTTAGCAGCCATTAAGAAGTATCGCCCCATCAAGTTGCCTTCATCCGCGCCACAACTGTGCTTCATCAGTATAACCATTCTTGGCCGTTTTTCTAGATGGATTGACCAATGCGATATAATTTAGCGGTCACTTCTTGCGATCCTGATGCTCTTTTTGTCCCTTAAAAGGATTACCAGCACAGTGGTTCTCCGCATATGCAACTGACAAAGCTTTAGCTGTTTATCAATATGTAATGAGTATCACAAACTTCTCTCAAGCGTGCCACTTCTCGACCGAATGTAGCTAGAAGGTCACCCTCACCATGCTTCAGTTCCACTCACTCTGTCCCGGTCCTTCTCTTCGCCTTTTCATCAAAGAAAGCTAATTCCCTGAAGAATATTTTAGACAGATGTTTCAGAATAGGAGAATAAGAAAATGGGGTGATCGTACTCAAATGATGGAAATTTGCCAGGCCATTTTTAAACCCACTGCAGGCATCTTACCTCCACAGTTCGTTCTTGAATGCTTTAGACGGATGCGAAAGATACCGGCAAAGAGCTGAAAACTTTGGAAAGTAGAAGAGACGAATTGGATTGTGCCATAAATAAGCTGCGCAAAAAGCAGGATGACGCTGATTGCCAAGTAAGCACACATCAATTAGAGCGCCTGGATTTCGCGCACTTTTGCGCGCAGCTGATTCTCATGAGAAATTTCTTTGTCAAAATGGAAGAACCGTGTCGCCAGTGCGCTTTAACAGCCTGTAGTAAAACCTAGGGCTGCTCAGAGTTTTAAGCTAGATTCCATCTAAAAACGCTCGACCACATCAATTTGCGGCATGTCTCTCATGCCACAGTTTTTGTCTCAAAGCCCGTGCGATCATGAGTCATTGCTAGTAGTTAATCTGGCTGCCCTTTTAATGAATGACAATTTCGCTAAAATTGCTTGCCAAAAGCTTTCCTTGTCTTTGCGTTTCCAGATTCGCAACTTACACATGATGCATCCTTGTAAAATTTCAGTTTTCTATCTTTTCTGTTTTCCAAATTGGATATGTGTTGAAATTCCCGTCAAACTTTCACGTATTAATACGTGAGATCTGGATACTCAGTTTAATTTTTTTGAATTATGTGTAGACAAGGAACATTCTTCTGAAATTTCAGCTTCCTAGCATTCCACAAGTTAGCAGTTTCCCAGCCAAAACTTTTACTTGTCTGCACATGAAACGTAAACGTAAGTGAAAGTTGATGTCACTTTCCTGAAGCCAAATTTGGCCATGAAGCACAGTGGCAAAACTTCTACTTCTAAGCTTGCTTGGTTACAAATGAAATACCCGGACAGTGGCATACATACACACACACGCACACACACACACTTACATACACACACTCAAACACAAACATAGTGATCACGACATACGTTTCTGTTGACTGTTGCAGAAAAAAGTTGAACCATCCAGCTGTACTACCAGTACGAGTTTTCCCTGGTCCCAGCTCACTCGAATCATCGACGTTTGCCATTGCCTTTTTAAGAAGTAAAACAAAAAGCCAAGAATATTCTTTTTGACGTGTTTACATCCCGGACATTTCTGTAATTGTGACTAGTCAACAGTTTTTCTCCTCTAAGTTCTATTCTTTTACCTTAGTTTTTGAAGGGTAAAAAAAATGAAGCAGAAGAAGCGCACAAAGAACAGTTCGAGAAGGTCGATGAACTGCTGGACGAAGAAATCAAGAAATGCGTTAGTTTTCATCGCTTTCATCAAAAATCAAAGTTGGGAGTCCTCCCGTGGGGAAGGCATTTCGCATTATAGCACTTTCTAAAAATTTCAGTCAGTGAATAAATGCAGAAAGAACCGTCTTTGCCTGCATACAATAAATTATCTCGCTTTACAAAAATTTCAACAAAATCTGACAAATTCGTGAAGTTATTTGCGACTCGCTACTTTACTACCTTATGAACTGACCCCCTCCTCCTCACCCTCTTCCTCCTCCCTTCTCTGCTCCTCCAAACGATCGTTGCTTTTTCCGGAATCCTCAATTTGGCAAAACCATGAAAACTATTTATCTAACGAGTAATTTTTCAGCAGTCGGTGTTGTGTACAGCAATGATACAACTGATGGAAGTGCAAGGAAAATACAATAAAAAAATGATGAAAATTTTAAAGGTTCGAACACATACGTCCGTATACAAGCAGTTATATTTGCTGAGCTGCAAATACACTAGCAAATGTGCTAAAGGTGGCCAAGTAGTTAGTACAGACATTCCTAGTTAGTGATGTTACTGGGATGTATTTTCACACCGGATGGTTCTGAACCTCTTGCCTTCAAATAATATCCCCCGCTTGTTCGATGTATGTTTGTGATGAACTTTTGAGTAAGACAAAAGCTTATTAAAAATAATTTGTCCTTATGAACTGCATTTGAGCTGCTATAATTTTATAGAATTTCTACGATTTTATACGGGAAAATAAGAATTAACTTATTTTTCTACGTAAATAATTCACAAATGTGCTTTTTGGAACTCACAAGTTAGCTGATGTTTTAGATGACTCGCATTTTATGGGTAGGATACCTTTCCTAGAAGTGTCTAAAAGAAAACGAAAGTAGGCATGAGTTTAATGCAATGAAAGAATTTTGCAGCATGGATCTAAAGATTAATTGAATTGAATGATGGCGATAGACAGCATGTACAGGACGATGGGCAGTGAAACATTTTGGCGCAATCCTGTGGGAGCTCATATGAAGAAGGAAATACAACTTAAATAGAAACTTTAAAAAAAAAGAACTACTAAAAACTGATTCGTCAAGCGACAACTGAACCCTTTTCTCGAATTAAACTAATAAAAAACACCAAAAACTGGGTATTTACATATTGCACAGTTCTCATGTATTAGTGCTTGATTCATGAAGGCGAACAGCGGAGAAGACATCAAAAGTGCTAGGAAATTAGGCAGAGAAGGAGCTCTAAACCGTCCTGATAAAAAGTGTAGATTTAGTGAATGCACCTAAGTTGGAAAAAATCGCGCCCAGGAATTTCATTTAACAAATAAATTCAATAAATAAGTTCTGTACAAAAAGGCGACACGACTAGGAAGAAGAAATTTCAAAGGGTCACCATCAACTTGCTTGTAAGCAACCAGAGCCTTCGACAGCCGTGCCAGTGACTAGACCAATTTGGTCCTTGTTAGTGCTTCCGCCACTCGTGCAGAGTGATTACAGAGGGAATTCCACTCCTGACAGTTGAGGATGATAATTTTAAATTTTTAACTTGTTTTCTATCCTGAATGTGCGTGAATGCCACTGTTTCAGCTCATGATTTTAGCAGTCAAGGTTTCATCTGCTTCCAAGTTTACAGAATGTAACATTTGAAGTATATCAGTTCGAAATTTCCGCCAATACAAATCAGCGATGGGTTCTCCAACTGCAGGGAATGACCCACCAAACTTTTTTATATTAAAGTCTTTCAGCTTTGAGGCCTCTTACCGCAAAGCCAACTCTCCTACGGTGAGCTGAATGGAACTTCGAATTCTAGAACCAGTAACGGTTCTTTAGATTCTTTAGATTGCAGCGGTGAAATAAGCTCTGTAACTTTTCTGTTAACGCTTTTCGAGTTCAAGATCGAGGTTGGAAGCTTTCAAGAAGGGGCACACGTAACATAGCCTTTTCACGCTAAACCTTGTTGTAACGAAAAAATTTCATGTTTTTGTGACTATCTCTCTCTTTACGGACTTTGCGCTTGCATTCGAAGTTCATTTGTGTAGTGAACTTACGTGTAACAGCTGTCTACTCGTAACCAAACGATCTTTGAGTAGGAACTAAAGGAACTGGATTTTTTTCTTTTTACACTAAGGGAGCTACAAAAAAAAATCTAGACGCCCGCAAAGAGTGAACTTTCCTCATTTTATGTGTATCTATTTCGAACGACGCAGCAGGAACCAACAAGAAAGGGACTATTCATAGGGAAGTGTAAAATTTGAGAGAGCAGTGAGAATGTTGCTAACTTCCGCTGCTGCTGCTGTTGCTGCTCCCGGATAGTACATGCTAGCTGGATGCTAATTCGCTGTGTGAGGCACTAGAAGCAGGAAAAAATATTGTAATAGCAGTGAGCAGCTTTGCTTTGCCTCACTTCAGCTACTGCGCCAATCTCCCCGCTCTGGCTGTCTTGCCCTGGCACAAAATTCGAAATTCTACGTTGCTATACTAGCTAGCAATTCATCCTTAATCCGGTCTTTGTTTTCCACATTCCATCGAACACGCCCAGCAACGGCTCTTCTTTCCAATCATGATATCTTGTAAATTTCCCTTGTATTATTCATTCTGTTGTTTGCCATTGATCCGATTAATAATAATTTTAGCTTTTGTCTGCTACTAATCCGATTAAAAATTTTCCTTAACTGCAATTTTTTCTCAAGCTACTTCTGCCAAGACCAGTGGAATATCGTCTAACTGAAGCTACAACTGCAACATCGGCTAACACCTATTTCCCAAGTTATGATTAAATAACTTTTTTTTAATCAAGACTCAAAACCCCTCTCTACCCTTTCGCTCTTGTAAGGGGCGGAAGCACTCGGAAGTAGCTCGAGCGGTAGCAAATGTTGTTAGCAACAACCAGCTGTCTATGGCTCCCTCTTTCGAGAGTTGCTTAGTAAAAAGCTCGAATGGCGGATTTGATTCCCCAGCATGTACCAGCACTAAATCATTCAACCAATTAGAAGTAATACGACTTTTTAAAGTCATATTTAAATATGTCATATTTAAATATTTGATTTAAAAGTCATATTTAAGTTATATTTAAATCACCAAAATCATATTTAAAGAAATAATAATATGACTTCTCCTTCCTATTTCAATATACCTTTTTCTATTTTTGAAGTAATTTAATTGTTCATATTGCCACATATTGTTTAAGCCCTCGTGAACTCAAAAATAGCCCTCTCTGTGGCACTGTTTCAGGTTTGTATGTACTAATTATCGCATTTTCATTCAGCAGACCAAAATTCGTAAGCCAAGACATTCTTCACAATCAGTATTGGTGAAAAATAGGAATACTCAAAAATGGCTTGATTGTCGCACACATTGTCTATAAGCAAGCACGTCTTTCGAGAACTGCTTAGAAACAAGCTGGTGGCGATTTAAACTTTCTGAAATTTACCAGTACTAATTAATTATTGAAATGAATAAGTGGGTCGTAGAAGAATTAATTCCTGGTTCAGCAAATCGAACTGAATAGCAATAATCGGCAGAATGGTGATCATGATTTTGAAAGATTTTCTACTTATATGCTGAGGTTTTCGAAGCAACAATTTTTTGTGCTGCGGATGGAAATTCGCGCTTTTTTGACGCTTGTTGGTATTTTTAACGGATTTCATCTTTACCACAGATACTTGCGAAATATCCGGAAAGTAATAGAAAATGTAAGTTTCTTGCGGCAGCCCAAGTACCGTATTTGAGAGCATGGGGGTCTCGGCTGTACTGGATTGTTGGTCTGGTGAGTCAGTTCAATTCAATACCAGCTCGGGCCGTCCTCCCTGTTTTTCGTCCAAGAGAGGTTCTGCCCGCCACCGCTTGTTCCTCCTGTGAGCCTCCTTCAAGAAGCTGGCCTTTATCCCCGTTAAAACGTTTCCCCACCCCCTGTTAGAGGGAAAAGACAGTATAACAAAAACACATTCCCGGCAGCAGCGCTGGGAATTTCCGCTTTCGGCAAGATGTTCGCGAGATCTGTCGAGATGTTCGCGACATCTGCATTACGGTGTATCGCAGCGCAAATTTTGTTTTGATTTTACTTTCGAAATTTTCTCGTAATTTTTCTTTTCGAATCTCCTCGCTCCGCGACAGGGCTAGCATAGTTTGTTGTAGCATGAAGCAAGTCACAATCCAAAAAACTCGGGAATAATAGATGAGGGGGGAACGACCCCCTTTCAATTCATACCTTTAAAAAGGAGTTCCATTCACGACAATGAACAAATGCAAGTGCATTTGTAGAATGATTCGAAAACTGCTCTGTAATAGTTGTTACAGACGACTTTGGTCCCGCAACGAACCATGTAGTATCGTGAAGCCATTCTTCCAGACGTGTAGCTATGCATTCGGTGACGTAACGATTCATTTTGCCGGGCGTTCGTCTGGCGCTGCAACAGTGAACAAAAGCATGTGTTGTTACGACCTGGGGAGCTAATTCAATGTTCCAGGCGAACAGTGACGTGTCGAACCGGTGCAGCAGCAGTAGTATTATTATTGGTTTATTCAGTGAATCGAGTCGAAGATTGAGCGAATAACAGAAAGGATGCTGTTTGTGGATAACTTCAGGCTGGACCAGGAAATTTTGCTTGGCGCAGCCAGCCGGGTGCAGCGCCTTCGGATGTATCCCTACTTCGATATCGCCCATTATATGCTCGTTAGTTGTCTTTTTTCCGTTATTTTTGTTAGGAGCAAAGTGGGAAAACCAGTACAGGCCGTGGTCCTCTTAGGATCGTGTTAATAAAAACGATGAACTGTCCGTAGGCTGTTAAAAAAAAAAAAAAAAAAAAAAAAAAAAAAAAAAA